CCCCGCTAAGGTGATGATTTATATCTTCATCAAGGAATACTTGATAATGGATTTTCCCCTCAATACAAATAATCAAGTAATGAGTTCCGAATTGCAATTATCGTAAAAGTGCCAGACGACGGCCGTTCTCTGGCACTTACCTAAAATTGTAATATCGAAGACACCCTGTTAGTACATCAATTACAACGTATATTGGACGTAATATAATGGTCAAGGAAATCTGGACTTTATCGTTACCCGTTTTACTTTTCCTATTAGCAAATTTATGAAAATTTTGTACAGGGTGGCCAAATAAGAATGCGAGGTACTGTATCTGGGAACCTGTCCATCGTAGAGGCTTGCGGTTAAAAAAGTTGCATACTAAAACGGCCACGAGAAAAACCTGGAAAATGTTTGTGAAATGGCCTGTAGGGGGCGAAACTGCAATTTGGAATCTAAAAGAGCCATGTTTCTGATATCGCATATAAAGATGCCGTTTTCGCGAGCTTGTTTAGGCATCATTTAGTTACTTCTTCATGAAAATAAAACTAACCAATATATTTTGTTTTGAGAAAATTAACCATTTCTGTCGGAATGTCGAAAAAAGCCCTCAAGCGGCGGTATGTGAAACTAACAAAACTTCAAATATTACAATATTTGTAGCCGAAGAATAACTCTTTTCAATTAACCCGAGTTTGTTAAAATCGTTTCGGCCGTTTCGAAGATACAGGGTGTTCTTTACGGGAAACCTTTGAATATCCCCCACCACTTCATTTTTAGAGATACAGCAATAATTGTCAAACAAAAAGGTTCAGATTATCATCGACTTCAAAGACCGGGCATTTTTTTTGTGAGATTAATATAGGGAATTCACAGAAACATCACTTTTTAGCCTCCAGATTGCAGTTACGCCCCCTAGCGGCCATTTCACAAACTTAAAAATGTTTTCCAAGTTTTTCTCGTGGCCGTCTTAGTAATAACTTTTTTTTCCGCAAGCCTCTACGATGGATAGGTTCTCAGATACAGTACCTCGTATTCTTAGTTGGTCACCCTCTACACATAGCACATATTTCGATGCACTTGTTTCAAAGCGAATTATTATTTATGTCAAAGGTCCTTCTTGCATTTTGTAACGGGAGCCCGTTAACGGATTTTTTATTTAAATTTGTACGCTTATGACTTTGTAAATCCGTTTGAAAGCTTGCAGCGCCGGTGCGTCGTGGGATATGGTGTGATTAGTTCAAGTTACAGAAAACTTTCTGTTTATCTTGCAATCGTCGTTATGGGAGCTGCTGCGTAGCGTGAGTTGTGAGGAGTCGGCGGAAAATTGCTCCACGTCTTTCGTGATATTAAATTCAACAACTTTATGATGCAAAAATAACTAAATTTCTATTCAATAGCAATGCAATTTAATCAATTCAGAATGCAAATCGGGTAGCATGAACAAATTCTTCGGAACAGAAATAACGTCACTAAAATTGTAGATATTTCGGTAACAAAAAAAAAGTTCATAAAGCAAGGTTAGCTAAAATCTTAAAGAACATAGCTAGTCGGAAAGATACAATGTATTCAAACTAACAGAAATGAATCTTCGTAGTAATCAGAAAAAGTAACCGTAGGCAAAAGCGGGTCTCGATATCGGGAAAGTCAAATCTTCAGTAGCGACAAAAACAAAGTATGTAGGATCAGGTATAACGGATCGATTTACAAGAGTAGTAGTCTCCAACGTTTCTTTAATTTTCCTTGCGCAATACAGTGAAAATTCAAATTCGGTGGTTTGCACTCAGGAATATCGATATAGCAACAATCCGGTACGTAATTATGAAGAAAAGAGTAAGCCAGAACTAAAAAACCTAGAAAATGATTGTTCGAAGCCAAGGGTAATGCGTAATTTACCGATAACGTCCTTAGAAGTTGTAAAATATATCCCCAAATGCGCCAGAGAAGTGTCGAAAGCAAAATAACAAAAGAAAAACTTCACTAAACTTATACAGCCACAATATATCCCAAAAAGGCAAACAATTGTAGAGTAACAAGGCTTATACGTTCTTCTAAAAGTAATGAATGTGTTTTGTACAACGACGTGCGTGCGCCGAAAGAAATTAAAGAACTCTGCACGACCTCCGCCGGTGAAACAAAGAACTCTTATAATGATCAGATAACACCAAAAGTAAAGAACTAATGTAATGAGAAACAGTTGGAACAAATTTAGTACAGGAACACCTTGCATCTAAACTAGTAGATTACAATATAAATACCTAGATGGCGTAACAATATCAAATTTACATTAGAGTAAGAACGCTTTTTGGAGCGAAGGCTTTTGGAGAGATATTGTAAAACAATTTGGAGAGAATTTGAAGAGAGGGTATTGGGATTTTAAAGGCACGCTTAGCAAATGTGGGAGAGGCTCTTAAAAGTTCTTGAAGAGATAGTGAGAGGGCGTTCAAAGAGTCTTTGAAACATTAAAAAAAAATGTTGACATATTCAACCGACATTTTGAAAAGAGTACCTCAAGAGATATTAAAGATTGTTAAAGGGGTTATGTTCGGATATTTTGAAGAGATTTGGAAGATTGGTAAGAAATTTTTAATATACTGATATAAAAAGGTTATGAGGAAATGTTGGTCAGATTTCGATAATAATTTTAGTATATTTTGAACAAGCCCTATAGATGTCCGAAGAGATGATATCGACATTGTGCCCTTTGCGATTTTACAATTTTTTTGTCAAAATTCCCAGACGAAAGGGCGTGCCCGAAATGGGGGTGCGAAAAAATTCTGATTTCGACAAAATTTGGTATCTGGGACACGAAAATCACAAATCTGAAATTAGTTTTTGAAAATTTAAAAAAAATTCCACTGCAATTCTTGGCCGGGCAACGGAAATGGAGCGAATTCTAAAATCTGTTGTACATACTTGAGTTAATGAACAACATTGTCGGAACAGTTCTTATTTAATCACTCTTTTGAAAATTGGTCCTCTCGATCACCCAATGTTGTTTTAGATACTCGTACAATTGCTATGTGCACTGATCGTTGTCATTATGAATGAAACACATGGAAATTAATGTGAAAATTACAAAAGTGCGTTTTAATCTCGACACACAAGAAGAAAATGGTACAAAAACACAAACTAGGCTGGCTTATTGGTACTGCCAAAGCCAAAAACAACAAAAAAACACAAACAATTATTACAAATAGACTAAAATTATGACTTAACTACTTAGATTACTCGTCCGGGAATTGAAATATACAATAAAAAAGGTATCCGTACACAGTTCACAAAAATTAAAATTTCAATTAACACAATGACAATGACAAATGACAATGGCAGCATCTTCTCTTTGTGTAGACAAGGACATTCACAATAAAACTCAACTTCAAACTGAGTCACATTCAAAAAAATCTTAGGAAGCGGCGACAAATACCTCTCCTTGCAGCAACTTTGATGGTAAAAACTTTGCGACAATCCTCCAACCCGTAAGACATAAAAAACTTCTTCAATCTTCAATCTCACATTGAACGAAAACTTTCAATGCTGGCTGTGGCTCCAAATGAATAATAAACTGACCGTAAATCAACGAAGCGAATAAATCTTCAACGGAACGTAATTCCGCTGTCAACGTGGTAAAAAGCCGAATTAAAAATTTCAATTAAACGTAGTTCTGCGTAGACTGGGGACGCTTTTCTTGTTAATGTCCTATTTAAGGCGAATCCCTTCTTCCGATAATAAAAATTACAACAACTCATCTTACACAACACAGTTGACAACAAAGAGAGCAACAAATCTATCCTAGCAACGCACGTAGGCCAACGAAAGTAGAGATAGATTCTTTTTTCTAAATCAATTTGTTATCAGACATTTAAGAGATAAATTCCTACTTTAATTCTAGGAGAATTTCACTTCTATTAACATGTAAGGCGATAAATGACATCTACCTGTCAATTAAATTAAGCATTTACATTTGATAACAGATAAAGACCCAAAAATTTCTGCGTTTAAATAAAATTTAAACAAAAACAATCTTGGCCGCTCTCATGTATAACACAATAATCTCTATGCCATTACATAGACCAGCGACAATTAATAAAATTTAATTACGAATGAAATAATTACACGAAAGGGGACCGCCCTGTCCATCTTAATTAGCATTTCCGAAAATTTCATCCTGTCGGACGAAATCAACACAGCAATATACGTAACACCCTGTATATAACCAGCGAATAGTCGCTTACTAGACTCATAATAATAAACACCATATTCTCGTAGATCAGGGGCGCGCTATAATTGTGTCCGAATTTTAAAAAAACTTCATCAATTTTTACGAAAATAAACAATGTGTCGAGTTTTTGCTATCGCGAAGTAGTTCCTAATCAACATTTTTCGAAAACATACAATAGCGTGAACTTAAATCTGCATTACACTGAACCACATTTAACCTAACAAAAGCGCACTCACAATAAATACACAGTCATTTTACAACAACAAATGAAAAGGAAGTAGTAAATTGTTTTATGCATGGACGCGCTAAACATATTAGAAAAAGTTATTCGAATTCTCACGGGATTTGTATATTATATACAATGTCTTCCGAATATTAATTGGTTCCACACGTTAGAAACCGGGAGTCGCTTTAATGCAGGTAATAAAAGAGGTTCGTTTAATTACTAATTACCGACTTAAATATTTGGCTAAATCGTAAAGTCGTCGTCCGATTACTCGAAATGACACGGTTTACATTGTAAGAAGAATAACGTGAACAGTCCTAGAAGCATAAAACCGAGAGTTATTATATTTTATATTGGATCGTAAACATTTACCTTTATTATCCCACCAAATAAGTGTGTATAATACTAATTTATGATTAGTAATCTCGAAAAAATTAAAGTAGTAGTCGTTATATAAACATCAACGGTAGCGAGGAGGGTCATATAATCTCAAACATACAATTACGTAATTTGAACAAGCCTGAAATTCATTTATAAAAATATATCCAACGTACCTTAGAAATAAGCCTAGGGTTGATCCAAGCCGTTTTAACATCATTATCCAAGAGCTTATATGAATCCTTTGAGATAAGTTTCGGTATGTCTGATCCAACTGACGAGGGATGAACTTTTGTATTCTGCTCTCTCGGACGTGAAGATCTGAAACGATAGAAATTTCAAACTTTAGTCGTTTTTAAATGACTATTAGGCCGAAAACAAAACTTTCAATCGTGTTATGTAAGGAAGTGTGCACGTGCACGAGAAAATCAAATCGGGTTATTTATTTAATCCGATGAAAATGAAATCAGTTTTATCAGCCCACAGACATAGTTTATGGGCAATATATTTTTATTGCACTTATTGAGACTTAACCACTGTACGGAATTAATTAAACAAGAATATCAGACAAAACTCGATATCTTAATGGGGTAATACGAAAACTTTACGTAGTAGCAGCGATTTTCGAAATTAAATTAATTATACAATGACGGGTTTAACGAGCGTGAAAAAATGCGGTATTAAACGGTACCCATATGTCTAGTTACCGGATTAAATAAATTCCTTGGGGCGCTCTTGCCTTGTGACCGTGGAACAACACCCCCTGATATTTACATGCTTAATTTTATAATCCATCTTCACTAATCCTATTATAAAGGATACAAATAGTAAAAATCTTAAATAGCAACATTCCCTGCATGATAAATCCGTTCTTCGCACTGAGGGAAACTCGAGTTACCCTTTCGATGTCAAATTTTGTTCTCCTTGCACACGTTTGATGTAACTGCTTTTACCAGAAGTTACTACCATTTCCGTAAGGGATAGTTGCAAATACCAAAAAAATTTGGTATCGAAAACGTTTTAATAAAGTTAATCGCTAGCGTGCAGTTCCTCAAGCAAGCTGGGGTGTTGCTGTATTAATAAAAGTTTAAAAAGTCATTATGCAAACATAAATGACGAGAGCGTATTTTCCTCCTAATAATATTAATGCTAGGATCAGGAACAAATACCAGTAGGCACGACATCCTTACCCCATTCTCTTTCAGATGGGCCGCCTATCGCCGAAGTCTACACAGTTTAATGAAAAATAGTGGAGCGTATACAAATACATACAATACCTTCATAAATAAAATATACAGCATGTGTTAACAGTAATTTTGAAACCGGTATTAGTTTTAGTTTCATTCAAGGTGCCTACATAAGATATTTCGTTTAACTGCTTTCATAAATACGAAAGTTGCCATTGCGCATGCGCAAAACCAAATTTTAAAACTGGTGTTAGATTTGCTTGTATTCCAAGTGCCTATGTATTAAATTTCATTTAAATGCTTCAGTAAATAAGGAAGTTGGCATTGCGCATGCGCAAAACCAAATTTTGCAACTGGTGTTAGATTTGTCTTTATTCCAAATGGCTATGTATAAAATTTCATTTAAATGCTTTCATAAATAAGAAAGTTCGCATTGCGCATGCGCAAAACAACATTTTGAAATGTCGTTAATTTTACTTATATTCGTAGTGTTTACATGTAAAGTTTCATTTAAATATCTGTATAAATAAAAAAGTTAGGATCGCACATGCGTTAAACCAAATTTTTGACACTGCAATTGCGCAAAACGCAAAAAATATGGGTATGCACGGAATCCTTGGACTAAGCCCTTTCAAATGAGTCCTATATCGCCAAAATCGGTTCAGTGGTTTAGAATGAGTACGTGTGACGGGCAGACGGACGGACGGACGTCAAAGTGCAGCCAATAGCGATAAAGTAAGTTAATTGGGAAATATGTGACACCGTACTCGGGTAGGTGCATTTTCGGAAAATCGGCATATGAGTGGTTTTCTTTCCAGATTTGAACAAGGAAAATTAATTTCGTTTTACAATCGCCGAATCTAAAAATAGAAAAGTTATATACGCACTATATAAAACACTCTACGCATGCATTACATGATAATCCGCAACTACGTCGATGAACTAATCTATGCAGTAATTAATCCGTTATTCAAGAAAGAAGCACCTTGACATCAGGAAAGCTGAAGCTGTGTAAATCCGTAGAGTTCATCACTTTATTTTGAATATGAACGAACCTCAAATTTATGAAAATGTGGCTTGTATCTTGGTGTGTGAAGGAACTGAAGCCATTTAAAATTTTGGATCCAATATACTCAACATTTTGTAATTTCTGAGTTGTTATCGTCGATCGGATCGATTAGTGATTTATGTTGAGGGCGCTCTAATGGAATCAGCGTTTCAATGTCAAGGATTTTCTAAAAATTAAATTTGATACTATAGTGAGAACGACAAGGTAAGTTCAAATAGTTTCGATTGTTCGATTGATTAAGTCGGTGCAACCAATCTGTATAAATAAAAATGTATACAGTGCTATTCATGTAGAAGTAGACATAGAGATTTCCTATAGGAATTTTTTACATGATCAAAAGTCTCCTGATAGACGCCTAATTTTATGCAACCAAAGTAACTACCTACAACAAATGAGGATCTGCATGTTATATTAATTAATTTGAATATTATCTATTCCTATTCTAATTTCGGTTCGTGTGCGATGTATTCAACTAAAGAAAAAGTTGATATTTCCAATTGGTATAGTGCCGATAACTGTTAAAGGAGCTTAAGAGATTTATTTTCTGTGAAGCTAAAGGAACAATATTCAAATTATTATAATATGACAGCCAGATCTTTATTTGTTTCAAGAAGTTATTTTGGTTCCATAAAATTAGGCGTCTTTCAGGAGACTTTTTATCATGTAAAAATAGACATAGGAAATTCCTATAGGAAATGGAAGTCCCTATGTCTACTTCTACATGAATATCACTGTATGTACCCGCATAACTTCAGAACGATTGCACCAATTTAGATAATTATTTTTTGTTGCGGTGTGTTATTTAACAAGATAATGTTTGTATAAAAGATAATTTCCGAAAAATTGTACGGAATTGTACGTAAAAAAAAACATTTTTCTCTTTGCCGTCATGTTAAATCACAATATAGGTAACTAATAAATGGCGCGTATCAATTACGTATACCCGAAAAGGTTTCTCATGTAGTAAATGTGTGCAAGGTGTGTTAGTAAAACACCTCCATTCAACAATTCCCCGCGAATTGGAGCAGGAAAAAAACAGTACATTTAAACCGTAAGTTTCCTTGAAGGCGTTAAGGTGTACAAGAGACTTTCCGAAGTTCCCATGGGAACGGGGTAACGGAAAAAACGAGATTTCCAAAAGGCGATGGTTGGCTTGTAATAGGCAACGAGATGTGAAAAGGCGGTGATGATAAATTTGCGAGCTCATGGTGTGTGTATCTGCAGCCATTGCAGTCAATCGTTGAGGAGCAACTCCTACCTGTATTAGTAAGGTGGTAACAGCCCCCCCCCCCTCACTTCAAAGGGGTTGCAATGGCTTTGTCGTGGTGGCGTCCGTGATATTATCCTTTCTGAAGGAATGGCTGGTATTGCTTCCCTCTTGTTGATGTGGTCTTCGTTGGTCCTCTCGGCATAGTCGCGGTGCCGGAGGTCATCTATGTGAACCTTTTTTGATTTCTCGTTTGTCCCGACAAATCTAGTATGCGTTGATACTGGGCGGGGAAACGACTAGAGAGGGATCTTAGTGTGAACAGGATTATCGGGAGGAGTGTACCCGTAAGAGGTGATCGGGAGTTCATCGGTAGTCACAGTGCCCATCTTGTTAGCGCTGCCGTTCTTGCAACAAGAACAAGGGCGCTTTGGCGTCTTCAGGGTTAATTGCCTGTTCGAATTACTTCATCGTGTTTCGTTTGTTCGGATGGTATGTCAAAGGTATTGCACGAACTGTATCCCGAATTGCATTTGTTGATTGAAAGTCGCAGCCTGCATAGTCGTTTGACTACTAGGTATAGATCGTGGAGGTGACCTTCGATGTTGTGGGAATATATCACTAAGCCATGAAGGTAGGCCATCACGAACTTGTGTAGATACGCGGAACTTTTTGTGTCAATAGTTTTTGGAAGGTGATCAGCGCGGTTTCAACTCCAAACGTCATTATTCTAAACTACTATGCAACTCAATCGAGTTTCCAGTTATGAAGATTCCTCAAGGGGGACTGGCCACGCACCACCTTTAGTGTCTGCTCTCCTTCCTCGCCATTACTATCGTTGACAAGCAACCCCCTGTATGTAGGGTGACACGGTAACACCGGGAGAATTCTGTAAGCCGTACATACGAAGTTTACCTATAGGCAAACAATTATTTATTTTTTTAACAACTTTGCGTATAAACTTTCACGTGCTCATTTAAGTTAATATAATTAATTTCCATTGCAAATATTGTTAGACCATTTCAAAACGGCCGTTTTGGTTTTAAGTTAGTAACGGTACCTGAATATATATTTTTAAATTACCATGTGCATAACTATTTGCAATACCAAACGTTATAGTGCGTCTTTCTCGTAATTTAAAAGAAACGAATTCGGTTTCGCGGGAAGAACAAAACGTGCGCGCGCATTCATTCAGTAAGGAAGACGTATGAAGTACGTAAAACAAGCTGTGGCGTCTAATTAATTAATATTTGGTGGAAAAGGTGCTAATATTGTTCCAAGAGTGCTTTTCCATACACATCAACAATTGATCAACGAATAGAAACAATTTGCACCGCCAACCGACCAGTTTAGAAGAGTTGACCTACTTAACGTTTTCAATTCATGTATGAAGAAGCAGCCCTTTGCATGTAAAGTGAAGCTTTCGTTGTTCGCTATCTACACGACCGATATATTTATGAAACGATTAATGTTGAGGTTTTTATGGAAGCACTACTGAACCCTTGAAGAATGCCCTTTAATCAAACCGGCCGAACTCATGGTCAACAAAAAGTGCGTTGTTGCACGACAATGACTTCACGAAATTACTCTTCTGTAGGGCGACTACAGCCCAAATTAAGCACTAGGCGACTACAGCCCAAATTAAGCACTACGCGACTTTTTTTCGTTGAACATCTAAAAAATACCCCAGGGGCCACAAAGTTGATTAGATGGTGACCTGAAAAGCTCAGTAGCATCATACTTTGAAGCACAAACAATGATTTTTTTTATGGAATGTGGAGCCCCGACTAAACGTATGAGTGTAGATAGTATGTAATACGTAGAGAATCAATTTATATGGAAGTTTTACAAGATTTTAGTAATAGTTCAATCGAAGATTGCTGTGAAAAGGATGAATTGGAAGCAAGCCTCCGTTGTAATAATTCTGCCTCTGTCGTCGTTATACTTTTCCATAGATTGTGGACCCTTCATTGTAACCGATAACGTTTGTATCATAAATAAAGTAGTAAATGTGTTACCTGAATTTGGCAGTATGTATTGATTTGAAGATATAATTCAAGTAACGTATCGATTTTAGTGGGATATTTTAATTTGCCCCTTTATCTGAGCACAAGTTTTCCAATGTTTCTTGTCACAAATATACCCAAAGTAAAAACGAGCAAGCAATAACCTAAGGAGCAACTACAAATCAATGAGTCAGTACAGTACAGTTTCCCTATGTATCCTTTTAAATGGACCACATTAAAGCATTACAAATTTTAGATCGCATTTTGTGGAATTTAAATAATAGATACTGATCAATGCGACTAGAAATTTGAAAATTGGAAAATGCGTTGCAGCCTTTCCATGGCATGAAACGTTCAGCTGCCGTCAAAAGTGTCCATATTAGCATTTAGATTTTAAATGATCTTTCCAGCAATATCTGAGGTGGTTGCTCAATACACGAGGACACAGCAGTTTGGCATCACGATATCACAACAGAAACCAGGACTCGGCAACAGCTCCATAAGGTCTTTAGAGCCATTAATGTTTGTACGTCGCCATAAAACAAGTCCTATCAAAATGACAAGATGAAGGAACGAAGTCTTGTGGCGCTACAAGATGACCTTGGTATTCAATTCGCTATTGGTTATGGCAAGGTAACAATTTAACAGATCTTTTGAAAGGTTTCAGGTATGTCTTTTTTCCACTTTTCCCAAAAAATCTTCTACTTTGGGGCAAGATTCTGGGCAGCAGATCTTTTACAATGCGCAGACGTTACCCTTCTTCGTTATTTTTCTTGGATTGATAACAAGAATCGGAAAAGTTTTCTCCCCGGAAACAAATACCGTGTTAGATACTAATTGTATGGCCATGTGTGCTTTGCACAATTTTAAACGTGGAATTTAGGCGCTTACCTGCAAGATAGGAATTAAATGTGTCATCCGGGTTCAGAGAAATAGCTTCATGGTTGTTTAAATTATTGGGGGTACTAAAATCACACCAATAAGTAACTTTTAAAACTGTTTACTGATTCTTTAATGATTTAATTCCGCTTGTATATCCTCCAATGTTTTGTTTTTTGTTTCAGGCATAAACATTACAATTATTACGAGTCCCATGCTGCAACATATTGCAAAGCTCCAGAAAGGTACGTAAAGGCCATAATTATCTTTAGTAACTTGGAAGTATTTAGAAACAATCGCTCCAAATGCATAATACATTACGTCGCCGACGGTGCAAGCGTAAGGCTTCAAATTTGTGGTAAATAGTTCGGAGGCCATGAAACTGGGCATTGCTTGTAAGCCTAAACTGTAGCTGAATGTGAAAGCGATCAAAATCAGCGCTGGTAAGAAAGAAACGTGGGAAGTGTCCAAGTCGGCCACATCTCGAACCAAAAAGAATGAACCTCCCACCAGTAACACACAGATTGCTCCTACCGTAGATGTTATCAGTAAAGGTCTTCTGCCGAGTTTGTCTACCAATAGTGAGCTCAAGACAGAAAACACAATTTGTATTGTATATAGAATTACTGTTCCCAACAGCGGCGAGATTGAATCGGCGCCTTCCTGAAAAACTGTTTGCGTGTAAATGTTAAAAGCGGTAATTCCGCTGAATTGTTGGGTTACACGTAGTCCTACTAACGTCAGCAACTTTCGTCTGTTATTCTTCTCGAGCATGGAAAGGAAATTGGTTTTGTTTAACCGTTCTTCCTCGATAACTTTTACAAGTACGTCCAAGTTGCGGTCGGCGTCATCTCGTCCTTTTAACGCAGTAAGACTCTGTCTTGCTTCCTCATGTTTACCCCTCATCAGTAAGTAATTCGGCGATTCGGGCATCCAAACGAAAGTAAAGAAGAGGAGAAGTGGTACTATTAGACAAACCAACGACGAAGTTTGGATAGTCATATACACGCCGATCATATTGATTACCATTACGCCCAAAAAAAGGGCGATAGATACCGATGAACACAACAATCCCCGAATTTCTTTATCTGAGACTTCACTTAAATACATCGGAAGAGTCGCAAACGCCAAGCCTTGGCAGATGCCTCCTATAATTCGACCAATTAAAAGTACCGGTAGAGAGTTTGCAAAAGCGATTACTATCCATGACGTGCAGAATGGAACACTCGACCACAATAAAATCGTCTTTCTTCCAATTGAACGCCCAACGACGCTCAGCAAAAGACTGCCGCACAGTCCGCCCAACAGGTAAGAGGTTCCCACCCAAGACGATTCATCTGACGTCATTGAGATTGGCGAGTCTTCGGATAGAAGAGTGGGCAAATACGGCGATGTCCATCCTAAGATTAACCCACTACAGAAAGCCACCAGTAAACCTAGTGAATATCGCACATGTCACAAGAATGGTGCATTCAATACTTACCTGAGACAGCAGCTCTGTATTGGAGAACCCTCTTCTCTAAGGTGAAAACTTTAACTTGCATTTTAAAGGGCAAGTATCCACTCAACTACTTATATAAATAGCTTTCGGTTATCTTGACGTTGTCGCTCAGTACGAAAAAGGAAGGTTGCATTATCGTAACTGTTACTAACTATGGTTCGCACTTGATTTAGAAGCGGTAGCAGCTATTGCGTTAGGGACCTGAAGGTTCATTATGTAAAGGATGTAGGTAGGAAAGTCATGGCATGTTAATAATAGTTGTGCAATAATAAATAATTGCAATATCTAATCCTTCTAATTATGAAATCTCTAATCTTATCAAGAAATATAATGCATATTTGCGATTTGCAAATATTACATTGTCATATGTCTACAAACCTTTGTTTGAGCTTCTTTTCTTATTTATGGATGTGACGAGGATCCTTCGAATCAGTGTCATTAAAAACGCTTATTTGGGTTTTATCGGTATTTTCTTTTTTTCTTCCTTCCTTTTACATAAGGAACTTTCCACTGGAATAGCGGAAAAGATTGTGCAGTATTTTATCCATGCAGGAACTTCGCCACGTTTGTATTATAAGAACTACATGAAAACGTGCGAAAAAACTGTGCAGAAATAATTATTTATAACTTCACTGAAGGAGCTATGAGACAAACACTAGCTCCAAATCCAAATTCAAAAAGATGTATGGAAAAGGGTAAAATGACTAATGTGCATTAATTGTAACCACGAGTTATTAAATTGTGTTTGTTTGACATTTCATTGTGTTTGGCTCTCATTTGTACTGGAACGTGTTTTGACAACAAAAAAATGTTATATGTGCATTGTTGCGTAAACTATATCATGTAGACGTTATTTTGGCTTCAGCATCATCAATAATGTTGGGTCATCCCGATATGTGAATATTTCAATTTTTAAAGGTTTTTACGAATAAACACGATTGTTTCGTTTGAATTTGTATTTCCGTATTTGTTTTCCCGTTTTGAAATAAATTTGTATAAATGCATAATTCGTTTTAATTTTATCGCTTTTGTAAATTATTCAATCTAAATAAGGTGTGGCACATCTTCGTTGTGATGAGATACTTTATTGCAAGGCGAAATTTAATTGAGGTGTTTCGAAGTTATGAAAATAGGTGTTAGTTTTTGCGAAGACGCAAATTTCGTGTTTGAGTGGGAACGCGGGACGGGAGATTATTTTATGGTGGAAATGGTATATCCTTCAAATATTGGGTACAACGTTTTAACGGAGCTTGTTTGATTGCTTGTTAGTAATGGTCGGAGAGCAATACACATTTTGTTACGCTTTTATATTGGTCAGTTTTCCCTATTTCTTTGGTTGGAGACGAAATTCTTCCCGATCATAATAAAGTTTTCAGAAGATGTTAAGTAATCGCATTGAGAGATTGAAGTTATTATGTTGTAAAGTGATTTAGTAAAGTTTGTGAGAAGTTAACGTTGTAAGTTTGTGTAATTAATATATCTTTATTTCAATGTCTGTTGAACACCTGCGTGCATGGTATCTGTAAAAACAGGCTCTAAATGCCTCTTTTCTTCCGAAATTATTGTTTAATTTTGTGTTTGCCAAATAAATTTGTATTATTGTCATTTCATTAGCTGTATGTTTAATCGAACCGCTTGTACGACCCAGATAGAGTTTTCATGTCAGATTTTTCTTATCGTACCTAACAGTTATGTCAGGTGTTATCTAATATTGTATTTAGTTAATTCTTTGAAAATGTCGAGAGTTGATCGAGGTCAGTGTCTCTGCAAATTCATAAAATTAAGATTTTTCCATTATAGCGGAGACCGGACGTGTTGAGAAATGTATAATGAAGTTTATTTAATTGAGTTAGCTGGGCAGGAGCTTTATGGGTGGCTTTGTTTGGACTTCCGCACCTATAATAATGATGGGTCACCCTGCATATGTGAATTAAATTTTAGTAATGTTATCTCCGGTGATTGCGATAACTTTAAATATACAGATGTTTTTGGCTGACCTGTGTTTACAGGTTTTTACTCGAAGATGTACAGAAAGTTAAGGAAAGAAGAGATGTTTCGGAAAGTTGAAAAGAAATGGAAATGGTAAATAGCGGACGAAAATGCAAATCGTTGTTTTTTTGGTGGTTAAGGATTTTGGTGTATCGCAGTCAGCGTATATAAGCGTTCAGTAATAAAGGTATTATAGAAGAAAGTCAGTTGTGTTCTAAGAGATTTGATATAATCCATCGTTCAAAGTGAATGTTTAAGACCAGTTTAACGGAAGCTTACTCGGCGTGTTGTGGTTGGTGCGTTTATTGCGAAACTTTCCGAGTACCTGTTAAAGGGAGTTTTTGCACCATCCAAGCCAATTTTACATCAGTAATTACAAGGACCCTAGTGTCGTCTAAACCGAAATTGAAGTGCAATACTTCAAGTAAAGAAGTCGAGTATCGAAGAAATTTCATCGTTCGGTGTCTGTGTTTGTGCATCAGTTATAAAAAGCGCAACTAACCGGATATTTTGAATTATTCATATTCTAAGACTGGGAATTAAGATTTCTTTAACTAATTGTTTCAATCGTTCGCTCGTGGCGTGGTATGTGTATTCTCGCCCTGAGTGCCGACTTTTATTTCAGCCTTATTTGATTGATTTTGTCTAATAAATTTGTTTCATCTGTAAATGTTCTATGTTGTGTTTAATCGAGCCCAAATTGCGACCTAGATAAGAGTTTTCAGGCTAAATTTTCCGTTGGTACCCATAGTTATGTCAGATGTTTAAATAAAAATTTGAATATAATTCTTTGGGATTGTGGAGTTGGTCAAGCCCGTTGAGTTTTCATATAAAAGATTTGGTTAGTATGCCTGTGATCAATTGAGCTCGCTCGACAGGTACTTGTGTTTAGTGACCGTTTGCCATTGCATATAGCAATGTAAATAATTAAGTTTGGGAATATACTGCACGTATTTGGGTGTTCCAAATGAAAAATAAAAGGTAATGGTCATAATTTAAATTAAATTGAAATAACGGCGCGGTTATGATTTTTATTGTAGTAAGTCTGTTATTGATATGTACTTATTTACTATTCTATCACCGTTTCTAATTTGTACTTAATTTTCTCGACTATATGATTGACACTTATTAAGATTTTCGTAAAGACAGTGAAGTTACTTCTGTGAACTAACTGTACCCAGTGAGTGTATTGGCGTTTTTATGAAGTTTGTGAATTCTGTAAGCGGTCCGTATGTTACGAACTACTACCTAGATACGAGTCCAGCTCATAAACCTAATCATTTTAGCAATGATGTACTGATTTTCAGAAAAAGTTGTTGAAAGATTGTCACGTGCTTAGTTAAATTAGCGATAATTTTCATTGTAAATATGTTAAGAACATTTCAAATTGACCGCATTGACCACGATCGTGACCAGAGCGTGTAAGTTGCTTAACTCCCTTAAGACCTTTTCACCCTGTAATTGTTCACTGGTTCAGATAACGTGCATCTTTGACGAATAGAAACTTGTCATACACGGCTAAATGTTCCGTTTCTCATCTGACCACTTGAGTGCACATAGAATTCATTCATGCTTCATCCTTCGAACCGCACGTATCGCTAGAGCGCCAGGGTTTTGTTTTATCTAGTATCGTCTTAATTTTAAATCGCAATTGGCGAAACACGAATGGTTTTGTGTTGTTATTTCGTTAACTGAGCCTTCACCGAAGGTAAGTTTTGTCTTCAAATATTAGTTTTCCGAATGCACTTGCGTTGTTCTTTCACCGAAAGCGTCTATGTTGGGATTTATCTCTTCAATCGCTGGTAGCTTAACTCAAATTATTCTTAACGTGCTAGATACTACCCTGATGACAGAAAAGTAACAATACATCTTTAAGAAAGGAACTTACGCCGATCGTTTTATGTATATAAAAAATTATGGATTCTTCTAAAACGATGGCTTTAACCATTTCCGGATTTTCTTTTTGGTAAATACTCTCACCAACGATGCGCATCGAGCTTCCGTAAGTTCTTTCTCTCCTTTTTTAATTCTTAGAGGTACGTACCGTTTTGATTAGGCAAGTTGCCTAAGAATCCATCAAAATCACCTCGGAAATCCCAGTGGCGTGCATGATTTTAACCAATTTTGTATTGTTTGCTTGTTTTATTCGAGGCCTGCCACCCATACTCCCAAGACGAGCGTACCGAACCCCAGCTATTATAATGTTCGTTTCAGGCTGTAAATTGCGAAAGCTAATAAATATTAATTGAAAATAAAGTTTGAGTGACAAACTTCTTTCGTTCCGAAATAAGGTGGCTACCTACATGAGAGGTGCCTCGCGAGCAAAAATATACACTAACTTTCTCTTACTAAAATAAAAGTTCCGTAATTAAATGTGATTGAGGGTCATAAGTACGTACTTTAATTAAAAAGTTTTCCTTGTTATTGTAAATGTATGTTTATGAATTTACGGGTACAATTTATTACGTGTTTGGGCACAGTTACGTTTTATAAAAGCAACAAAATGTTCTTTACGTTCAACATGAAAATTCCAACATATCTTTAGTTAAAAACATCGAGTACGTTATTTAATTAGAATTCCAGCACGACCGATTATGTGTACACTACTGAAAGTTTATGGTGGTAGTATAAGGATTAAATTGAAAATTTTAATATTCCATGAAGCTCGCGTGGTACAGTATTTACGTTTACGTTTCGCCCTCGAAAAATTATTAAACAATCAATTTCGAGTTATGGCGCATTACAATTTAGCGAAATGGACTCACGGCATGTAACAATTACCACGTTCTACTTTTAATGCTAATTTCTTATACGATACAGAGGACTGGTCTGCTCGGTGTAATATTTCTTTATTGTCATAGAATTACACCCCGATTGATTTATTGTAACACATTCCGCAATCGTGCGTGAATTATACGACATAAATCTTTGCGCTCGTGCATTTATGCCGAAAATTACACCCGCATTTTTTGTGTTGTTTGAACTGTACGGTCTCCGGTATCCCAAAGAGTAATCAAAACCGTAGTGTGACAATTATACTCCATATTAAATTGCAGGTTTCATTTAATTATCCTTCTAGTAAAATGTGGTTGTTTTGATGTTTTGACTACCTTCCTTATACGTTAATTACACTAATATTCCTATTATTCAGGGCTCTGTCTTAAAATCAACGCTATTAGTTCAAAGTACATACACTTTCTAAAAACTAATCGTTATTTTAACGTCCGTAGGCGCCTTTAAAATCGAGAA